TTCCTTGCCATATACCATCTCCAAAGAATTAGCAGAGAACGAATCGTTTTTCAGCCCGAGCGCTGATAGCAGAATGATTTCAGGCGTCTAGATACATTCCACTAGCGCCGCTGATGGTTCCCTTCCAATCGCTGTAGCTCATCTGCAGCACGAGTAAAACCAAGAAAACCGATACCATCTCCAAGAAATTAGCAGAGTACGAATAGTTGTTCAGCCCGAGCGCTAATAGCAGACTGAGTTCAGGTGTCAAGATATTTGCAAATAGCTGTGCCTCCGATTGCTTGTGGATGATGATTGCTTGAAGATTGCTTGATGCTTCCGGATGATGATTGCTGCCTGTCTAAATACTTCGCACCTGATTCTTTGCTTCCGATTGCTGTGCCTGAGAGCTCTGGAGCTCATCTGCACCTCGAGTTCAATCAAGAAAACCAATGGCGTCACCAGAGAAAACCAACTTAAAAAAACAAAAAAAAATGACTAGTTGTTCGGCTTCTGCGCTGATAACAGACCCAAGCCAAGCGTCTAGATACTTCAGACTAACGCGCCTGATGATTTCCTCCCGATTTGTGTGCCAAAGAGCTCTCAAGCTCATCTGCAGCTCGAGTTCAGCGAAGAAACTCACCATCATCTCGGACAAAATCTATAGAATACGACTAGCTCCGCGGACCTAGCTCGAGTAGCAGACCCAGTTCAGACCTCTAGATGCTTCAGACGAACGCGCCTGATCATTCTGAATCGATTAGGTGTGCGCACCAGCCCTGTAGCTCTCCTACAGCTCGAGTTAAGTACCGAAAAGACAGTATCTGTCAAGATCACTCGAAAGAGCCGATCCCGCCGGAGAGCTTTTTAGCAGTGATAGGTACCCGATCGAGCTGAGATTGAGACGGCGAGCGGGAATAAGATCGAATGTCACGGGGAAAAATACTAGAGCTCTAACGACTTGTTGAATTTTCACCAAGAAAAACTCAAAGAGGAAAAGTCACCAAAAAGTCCGTCGAGATTGCCAACTAGCTCACGAGCGCGCCGGAATTACTCTTAAGCTTCCAGTAACTAGCTAAGGGAAGCTCTACGAGTTACTAAAAGGGAGAGGCCCTCATAGCCTTGCGCAGGTGCGAAAAATCTTGTTTCTGAACATGAAGTGTCAGATATCTGTCAAATCTTAGCAAAACCGACCAAAAATTACCACATTCTCCTTTCTGGTCGGGTCGACCAACTAGCTCCACCCCGCGCCGGAATTCCTCTAGCTCATCGATGCCGAAGAGCTCTACGAGGTATGTAGGCGTCCGCCACGAAGGCCGCGACCTTGGTCTCCCCGGACGGTGGCTGTGCCTGCCGGCAGCTTCTCCACGGCAGTCCAGAATCGTCGCAGAACTGGCGCCGGCGGTGAACCGTCAACCTGGTCCGCGGCGTCTGCGCTGGCCGATTCGAGCTCCCTGGAGAGCAGGCCAGGACACAGAAAACCTAAACAGCGAAGCTGTACAAGGACCAGCGAAGCTGGTAGATTAAAGCAGCAAGATTATGCAGCGAAGCTGTATAAGAAACGTGCAACCTACATATATAAGTGCACAAATCAACAACTCCCGACAATAAACTCAAAGATGCAGCAAGCTCCACCCAACCACAAGATGTGCCAAACACACAACTGCCGCCATCAAAGGAGCCTCTCACCACGTGTACACCATCGGAGGTGAGGGGGTGAGATCGGAGTGGAACGGAGAGCCCCCCTACCGGGAAATCGATTTCGGTTTCGTGTTAGTGCGTGCCGTGCGTGCGGGCGAGGCGAAGCTGCGCGGGCGGGCGACAGAAAGTCTCCTGTGGCTGAGGCGCGGCCGGACCAAATGATTCCCTTCCGGGCGGCCGGGGCCCCGCGGTGTCCCGCCGGTGTCCCGTCGGTGCCCCGTCGGTGATGATGATGATGATGATGATGACGATGATGATGATGATGTTGAAAACGATGATGACGATGATGGTGGTGATGATGGTGAGTTCGGTAGTGAGATCGATAGTGAGACCGAATGTGAGATCGATTGTGAGATCGATTGAGATATCGATAGTGAGGTCGACAGTGAGACCCAGTGTGAGATCGATAGTGAGATCGATAGTGAGTTCGATAGTGAGATCGATAGTGAGACCGAATGTGAGATCGATTGTGATATTGATTGTGATATCGATAGTGAGATCGATAGTGAGATCGAACGAGAGGTCGATCTTGACTTCGACAGTGGGTTCGATAGTGAGATCGATGGTCAGATCGATTGCGAGATCGATTGTGAGATCGATTGTGATATCGATAGTGAGATCGATAGTGAGACCGAATGCGAGATCGATTGTGAGATTGATTGTGAGATCGATCGAATGAGATCGATAGCGATAGTGAGATCGATCGTGAGATCGATAGCCAGATCGATTGTGCGATCTATTGTGAGAAATTGTGATATCGATAGTGAGATCGTTAGTGAGATCCAGTGTGAGATCGATAGCCAGATCGATTGTGAGATTGATCGAATGAGATCGATAATGAGATCGATAGCGAGATCGATAGTGAGATCGATCGAGTGCGACGGTGGTCCCCCCTCCCCTCGCCTCCTTATCACCCGAAGGGTGGTCTATGCGGTATTGTAAAACTAAAAGAATGTAAAAGTAAAAGGAATGCGAGGTCACGCAGCAACCACTGATGCGGTTACCTTCTCGGCACCACTGACGTACATGCAACCAAGAATAAGGAATGAATTGAAAATCAAATGCAAGCGAAGAAAGCGCGCCAAGTCCTCTTATGAGACCTGCTAGCGGAGAGCGGAAGGAAAGCCAGCGGGAGAGCGGGAGAAGCCCTAAGAGCCAAAGCGAACCCAGGGGCAAAACAGCGGGGAAGAGAGGGGGAGAAACACAAACAGAAGCATGTGCAATCACTCAATCACTCAATCCATTGGGCGTCCGACCCTGGCCGCCAACTCGCGGTAGCTCATTACATTGCGACGCATCCATTCATCCTGAAATCCCAACACGTCGCACATAGCTTTCGCAAAGCTTTTCGGAACGAGTCTGCGGTGCATAAAGTCTCTGATATCCGTCGACAAATGGGTCAAACTGGCTATCGGGCCAAGTCTCGCGCGATCCCGAAGAAGCGCGTCAATCAACACAGCCCTTTCCTCGGCACCCGAGGCCATAAGGCGATGCAGCGCGGCAGCCGTGAAAGAGCGAACGAGCTTTACCCAGCCAGACTTGCGCAAACGGTATTTCCTGATCCTTAAATTGAACGCCAACTGATACAAATAATCTGCATGGTCACGTTTCTCCTCGTCTTCCATCACATTCCTTCCATCAGCGTTCATAGAGAGTTTAGGTGGTGAAGAAACCGAGGCATCCAAAGAAACGCCTCCGTCCTCCTCCTCGTCCTTCACGTCCCGCCCCTCAGCCTTCAAAGTATGGTGGGCATCACCCAACTCCAACTCTCGATCCGCAAGGTTCGAAGATGGCAGACAACCACCTAGAGCCAGATCGGGCAACCGGCTCAGCAGCACCCGCATTCACACCCACACCTGTCGAGGCGACTCCCACTTCCGAATTTATTTGCAACGCAGCCGTCTCGGAGTGGCAACTGGAGCTCTCAAACGGGCCATGCGAAGAGCTCCCAAGGTTTGACGAACTTGCGACGATGTTGGACTGACAACTTGAACTCCGACCAATATTGACCTGACAACTTGAACTCTCAACAGTCGCGGTAAGGCAACCTGGACTGCCAGCGGCATCATGCGAAGAACTCCCCAAGTCTGGCACATATGCACGAGCGTCCCAGAGCGCCCGAAAAGTGCGAGCCAACTCATCCCAACCTTCTTCCGTGAACTGGGTCTGCACAACAGCGCCTTGACATTGCGAAGGCGAGATTGCTTGCACACCGGCGTCCTGAAACTGCGCAGTAGAAACTGTTTGAACACGAGCGTCCTGCAACTGCGAATGAGATTCAACATGTACAGCGGCGACACCCGTATGAACAGCAAGCTCCCTTGAACCGCCCTTGAACCACCTTGAACCCGAGGGGGGCGTCGGTTCTGCAGCACCCGCATTCACTCCCAACTTAGTTGAAGAAAATCCCACATCCGAGTTTATGTGCGCACCTGCGGCCGGAAATTGCAAGGGTGAAACTGCATATATACCAGCGTCCTGCATCTGCATATGAGTGTCCTCAACCCATTCCTCTTCCTCAGAATCGTCCGAGCAGAAATTCCGATAATATCTGGGCGCGCAAATACCCGCGTGAACAAGGCACGACAAATCTGGCCCCCGAGCTGTGGACCACAAACGATACCTGATACGTTTCGCCCGCAGGCGGCGCAACTTCGATTGAGAAGCTTTGACAACATGCCCATGCAGCTGGTCTCGCTCACGCAGGCGAGACTCACCTCCGCACGAAGGGCGAACACGACAATATAGATCACTAACACACACTTCGAGCGTAGACAAACGAGCAGCGAGAAACTCGAAGTAAACAACGCCGTATCTGTCTAATATGAAGCTACAAAATCCGTGCCTGACAATTCAGATGAAACAAACTCCATGTATGAAACGTGGATTCGCTCAACAAGAAGAAAGCAAATCACAAGCAATAGCAAGATGGGCAGTTGAGTACGATACGTGTGCACGCACAAAAACCTGCCCGGACGATGCGGCTCGAGGAGGCCCCCGACGGGCCACGTCGCCGCTGAGATCCCCGAGGAGGGACAGCAGCAACCTGGTCACCGCCGGGAACCTCGTAGAGCTCCTTGCACGCGTAAGAGTGCCCAGAATCGAGAGAACGCCGCAGAAAAAATCTTAAAACCTCTAATTTTGCATTTTTTCATGTCACTATGAGGTCGGGTCCCTGGCTTCGCTCAGGAGAATTTGTCGACGAAATGAGCTAAGAATTTGGGAGGTACCTTCTGTGATGCAAAGCTTCGCTCTGCGCAATTATCAGCCCAAACGAATTGTTAGAACTGCAAATCGGCTGAGCCAGGCCGCGGAAGGCATGATCGCGTCCCCTTTCGAAATTTCGCCAACTAGCTTCACTCTGTCTCCGAATTCCTCTAGCTCTGTTACCATCAGAGCTCTACGGGGTACTTGGTAGCGCCCAAAACCTGGAGAGCACTTGGTAGCGTCCAAATCCCGGAGATCAAAGAGGCACTGGGCGCCGGCGGTACCGTCAACCTTGGTTTTTGTTGCGTCTTTGCTGGGACCATCTTGGCCACTGAGGCCAGGTCCAACAAGTCTCAGGCGAATCGAACGACCTGTGGGCACTGCAACAGTGAGAACACTGATGAGGCGAAACTAATACTACAGACAACCCTACAACAGTGAGAACACTGATGAGGCGAAACTAATACTACGACATGAGAGCCAGGAGACCTGGCCAAGAACTGAACATGCACACACTGAATTATTAGAGCACAAACAAATGCATACGCACCATGCCTATGGACCGAAAGGCACACTACCGAATCACAAGCAATAAACAAAGGCAACGAACAAACTGAAAGACTATGCACTGAATAAGGATGCACTGAATGACCACACGAGGCAATCACAATCAACAATCAAAAAGACCACGCGAGGCAATCACAATCAACAATCCAATACAATTCAGCGTACAATACACAGAGAGGTAATGTATGCAGACAAAAGGCCTCGGAGGAACCACGCACGTCGAAACTCGTAGAGTTTCACTTGTCGAAACTCCTCGGGCGTCCGAAGAATAGTATTCGGTAATCGCTGCACTCGGAAACCTCAAGAAGCTTGGCAGTCTCGGCGCGGTTCATTTGTCCTGTCAAGTACCTGTGCACCTCGAAGAATCCTAGAAGATCCTCCAGCGTCGCTTGCAAATTCTGGAGCATCTCATACAGCTTCCGAGCATAATCTGTTTGGGCCCTCTTTGTAGGGAACCCACGTTCTGTCACCAGCTTATCAAACAAATCCATTCCATTCTTTAAATACTGGATCGCATTCAACTCGTTGATGCTGGCAACAGCGTCAATCCACGCTTTCACATCGGCAATGGTGGCCTGAGAGCACGTCGATGTCCCCTTGACCTTGTCACGATCTCTCCCTCGAGTCCTCTGGCGCGACTCCGGAGAAGCGACATGGACAGACGCATCAGAACCAGGATTCGATACCTCATTGAGCGTGACATCAGAATATGCCTGCACGTTCGGTGTCGAAGAAAACTCCGCTCTCGAAACCGCCTCCAACTCCTCCCGCGCCTCCTCTGTCACTTTCCCAAGAACAGTTCCTGAAGCTCCTCCCTCCATCCCAGAAACACTCTCTGTCTGACAGCCGACTTCACAATGAAGGTCCACAGCATCAGTAAGAGAAATGCTGGCCTCGGAAAGTGGCGGGTAGGTGCAAACACTGTCCGTCCGAGTGCTGGTGTCAACATGACTGTGCAAATCCGTCTGAGTTCTCATGTCAACATGTTTTCTCTCCTTTAGCGGCAAATGGGGGGTAGAAAAGGCCAATGCGGTTGGGGAATCCGTGACTGTGTCCACTTCCGCACCTGTGGGAGAAAGATCCATTGAAGAAACTGGTGGGGAATCTATTGAAGAATCCGTAGAAGTACCCACTTCCGCACTTGTTCTCGAAAGAACCATAGAAACACATGCTGGCTGCAATGTGTCTCCAGGGACTTCGGCAAGAATTGGCACGGGCTCCACGGGGGTGGTGAAGTACTCCAGCAGCACATCTGTCGTGTGCGACATGGGGACCAAGCTTTGCAACGAGATGGGATACCGCGTGGGAGCAACAACTTTCTGTTCCACTGCGCGTGCACGACGAGCGATCCGCGCCTGCCAACTCCGAACATGCACCATGACTATGGACAGAAGGCACACTACCGAATCACAAGCAATAATCAAAGGCAACGATCAAACTGAATGACTATGCACTGAATAAGGATGCACTGAATGACCACTCGAGGCAATCACAATCAACAATCAAAATGACCACGCGAGGCAATCACAATCAACAATCCAATTCAATTCAGCGTACAATACACAGAGAGGTAATGTATGCAGACAAAAGGCCTCGGGGGATCCCAGGATCGCCCAGGCCTCGCGGCCCTTCGTCCAGTCTCACTCCCCGAGGCAGTGGCCCGCTAGAACGTCTGGAGGTTACCCAGGCAGAGACGTTCTTGAGACGAGAGCTTGAGCCAAAATGGCTTGAGCCAAAATGGCTTGAGCCGAAATCTTGAGCCAACCTTGTTTACCGCCGGGAGACTCGCACAGCTTCCTTGCTCATCTGCAGCTCGAGTTCAATCATGAGAACCAACCAATACCATCTCCGAAGAATTAGAAGAGTACGAATAGTTGTTCAGCCCGAGCGCTGATAGCAGACTGATGCCAGGCGTCTATATACTTTTAACTAGTGCCTCTGATGATTCCCTTCCGATTGCTGTACTCAACAGCTATGTAGCTCATCTGCAGCGCGAGTTAAGTGAAGAAAACCAACACCATCTCCAAGAAATTAGCAGAGTACGAATAGTGTTTCAGCCCGAGCGCTCATAGAAGACTGAGTTCAGGCGTCTAGATATTTTCAACTAGCGCCTGAGCATTTCTTTCCACTTGCTGTGCCTAAAAGCTCAGGAGCTCATCTGCAGCTCGAGTTAAGTCTAGAAAACCAATTCCATCTCAAAAAAACAGAGTCTGAATAGTTGGTTGGCTTCTGCGCTGATAGCAGACAGAGTGTATATAGTAGTGCGCCCGATGATGCTCTCCCGATTGCTGTGCTAAACAGCTGTAGCTGATCTGCAGCTCGAGTTGAGTCAAGAAAATCATCCCCATATCGAAAATAGCAGAGTACGGATAGCGTTTCAGCCCCAGTCCTGAGAGCAGACTGACTTCAGGCGTCTAGATACTTAGATGTATCTCGCCTGATCATTGCCTTCTGATTGCTGAGCCGAACAGCTCAGTAGCTCATCTGCAGCTCGAGTTTGGTGTTTGGTCAGGCTACACAGGGCGCGTGAAGGGCTAGAACCAGTTAAGTCCGCCTCCTCCAACTTGCAGAGGAAATTTCTTTAACAATGTGCTCCACACCTGTGCACAGGCGCTCGGCAGCAGACAATTCTGCTTCCGTCACGGTGGAGCCTACATCAAACATGTAGGCTTCAGAGCACACGAGCGTCCACGGGCCATTCTCTGGAGCAACTTCAATCCAGAGAACCTCCTGCGGCACCCACTACCCACACCACCATCCCAACATCCTCTGATGTATTAGTCGTGCTTGCGAATTCTGTAACAATTTCCTTCTCTCGCATGGTGTGTAAGCTCATCAGCAGGCATTGGCTTCTCTATAGATGTGTTTCCAGAAATTATTTCCGTGGGTCGGGCATCGTGCGTTGTGTTGTTCGCACATGTCGTACATGATATGTTGTATCCTGGCAATCCGTTTCGCATATCAACTGTTGTCACAAGCCCAGACTCCCCTCAACCATTGTACCACCGTCCTACTGTCACCACACATTTCGATAGCAATCCCCTCCATCCCAGGGTCCCATATTGTCGTTTGTTCGTGTATGATGAAAACGTGATTTATCCAGTTTTTCGTTTCTCGCTCCTGAAGCTTCTTCATGTGTTCCGACGATCGCCGTGCAAGAAAAGAGCTCTACGAGGTTCCACGCGGTAACCAGGTTGACGGTTTACCGCCGGTTCCCAGTACGAATAGTTTTGCGGACCTAGCTCGGGTAGCAGACCGAGTTCAGACCGCTCGATGCGACAAACGGACGCGCCTGATGATACAGAATCCTATCATGTGCGTAATTACTCGCGCTGTAGATATTCTGGATCGTGGGTTAAGCGCAGAAAACCAACAGCACTTGTAAAAATGACTCGAAGATTACGAATAGATTTGCGGACCTAGCTCGAGCAGCAGACCGAGTTCAGAGCTCTCGATGGGAGAAACGAACGCGCCTCAAGATTCTGAATCGGTTTCTGTAAGTATCAGCTCTGTAGCTGTCCTCAACTGGGAACCGGCGGTAAACCGTCAACCAGGTCACCGCCGGGCACCTCGTAGAGCTCTTTCCTTGCACAGCACCCCGAACACATGAAGGAAGCTTCTGAAGCGAGAGCCCAAAAATTCGAAAAAACACGATTTTTCGGTTTTCATCCAAAGTCGGTTGCTCCAAGTGTTTTGATAGTAATACTGCACCTACGGACCTGAGAATTTAACTGGCAGACGCGGCATAACCCATTACAGGTGCGAAATCTGCTTTCTCAAAATGAATGGTCAAATATCTCAAATCTCAGCAAAACCAACCAAAAGTCGTCACATTGTCCGCCCGGGACGGGTCGGCCAACTGGCGCCGGCGGTGAACCGTCAACCTGGTCACCGCCGGGCACCTCGTAGAGCTCCTCCCACGCGTAGAATGCTCAGAGTCGAAAGAGAGAGCTTCTCGAACCATTTCTCGAAAAATTGAACATTCATTTTTGTCATGTCGGCATGAAGTTGGTTCCCCCAAGTGTTTTGATAGTAAATTTGCGCCTCGAGAGCTCATATTAAGACGCACCCTCATAGTCGTTTACAGGTGCGAAAAAACTGCTTTCTCAAAATAAATGGTCAACTATCTCTCAGATCTTAGCAAAACCGACCACTTGGTAGCGTCGAAAACCCGGAGAGCAAAGAGAATACACACCGGAACTGGGCGCCGGCGGTCAACCGTCAACCTTTCTTACCGCCGGGAGACTCGTAGAGCTTCCCTTCCATATATTATGTCAAAAGAGTAAGCAGGGGACCAATATTTTTTTTGCCCGAGCGCTGATAGCAGACTAATCTCAGGCGTCTAGATACTATTGCCTCTGATAATTCCCTTCCCATTTGTTGTGCTGAACAGATCCAGCCAAGCGGCGCCTCATGATTTGCATCTCATTTATGTGCCAAAGAGCTCTGAAGTTAGGTGAATAAATTCACAGTCATTTCGAAGAAAAATTTGTCCAATACGAATAGTTTTGCGACCTAGCTCGAGTCGCAGACTCAGTTCAGAGCTCCGGAGGCTTCAGACGAACGCGCCTGTGATTATGAATCGATTATGTGTGCGTACAAGCTCTGTAGCTATGCTGAGGCTCGAGTTAAGTACAGAAAACCGACAGCGTAGAGAAATCCAAGAATACAAATGGTTTCGCGGACCTGGCTCGAGTAGCAGACCTAGTCCACCTCTCGATGCAACAGACAAGCGCATCTGATGACTCTGGATCGGTTTATGTGAGTACCAGCTCTGAAGCGTTTCTACAGCCCGAGTCAAGTAATGAAAACCGACAACACCTATCTAGATAACTCGAAGAATACGAATAGTTTCGCGGACCAGTCGAGTAGCAGACCGAGTTCAGACCTCTAGATGTAACTGGCGAACATGTCTGATGATTCTGAATCGGTTACGTACGCGTATCAGATCTGTAGCTCCTCTATAGCTCGAATTAAACACCGGAAATCGACAGTATCCGCCAACAAAATTCGTAGAACAGTTGAGACCCCTAGCGCGAGTTGTAGACCGAGTTCAGACCCCCACATGCTAGAAACAGACGCGCCTGATATTATGGATCATTTTCTGTGGATACCAGCTCTGTAGCTCTCCTAGAGCCAAGATTGAGTACAGAAAACCGACAGCACCTGTCAAGATGACTCGAATAATCAAACCAAAATCAGAGCTCTAGATTAAACTGACGAACGCGCCTGATGATTCTGAATCGGTTACTGTGAGTACCAGCTCTGCGGCTGCTCTACAGCTCGAGTTAAGTACAAAAAACCGTCAACGCGTTTCAAGATGACTCGAAACAGCCGATCCCGCCGCAACGCTTTTTGGCAGTGAAAGGTACCGATCGAGCTGAGCTCGAGACGGCGAGCCGGAATGAGATCGAATATTATGGTCAGAAAAATACAAGAGCTCAAACGAATTATTCAATTTCGAGAACAAAATTTTCAACCGACCAAAAGTCAGCAAAAGGTCCGTCGAGATATTTCTTGCCAACTAGCTCTCCCGCGCCCCGGAACGGCGCCGGCGCTGAACCTCGTAGAGCTCTAGCTCTTTACACTGGTAAGAGTGCTCAGAATCGAAGTTGAGTCGTAAAATAAAGACTTTCCGAAAATCTGCATTTTCGATTTTTCCGATGTTCATATTGGCTCGGTTCCCGGAATTCAACTCATCGAAAAAACATCGAGAGAGCTGACCTGCTGTCAGAGAGGAGTTTATATGCCAATGCTTGGCGCAAAAATCTGCTTTCTGAAAATAAATGTTAAATATCTTTCAAATTTTAGCAAAAGCGACCAAAAGTCACCAATTTCTCCGCCCCGGCCGGGTGGGCCAACTAGCTCCAGCCCGCGCCGGAATTCCTCTAGCTCATCGACTGGGAACCGGCGGTAAACCGTCAACCAGGTTTTTTGCGGACTTCGCGGTCGACTGCGCAGGCTTTCCAGCCTAGTCGGAAGCAAGGAGCGGGCGCATCGGGAGTAGGCGGAAGCCTCACCGATCCAAACGATCAGAGGCGAAAGCCAACTCTTACTAGGAGGATGAGAGGTCAAGCACACACACACGACAAACGAAGGCATGGCGTGAGTGAGCACAAACAAAATCACATCATATCCTGTCCGAAATACGCTTGTACAACCCGCGGCAAGATCATAATCGTATGCTCAACGGCCGAGACCTCGGCATCAGTCACTGTTGAAGTTGGATCAATCGAGAGTGCCGCGCTGTACACCTCCGTCCAAATAATCTCATGGCTGAGTGGCTGCCTTGAGAGCCTCGATACCCGTCCAACATCTATCCAGCACCCGACCCCCACGCCGTCGCAAGAGACACCACCATCGAATCCAGCTCTGATGGCACAAACGCGAAACACCTGTTGTAACTGAGGGGCGTGAAGCCCTATCCTATCTCGAATCACTGGTGGCCCGACACGGGCCGTATGAGTGAGTACATCTGCACGCGTGTTCCATTCCCTATAAGTGTGGTCTACAATTTCCCTCCCATGACAGGCAGGCCTAATTCCATACCTTTGACACATGTTGTCGAGTTGGTTTATCATTCTGTTGATCCTATCCTGATAGGTACGATTAAGCACCCTCCAGACACCCTGCAGCCAAGACACCACCAGAAGACTGTCCCCAGAAATGTACACAGGGATCCCAAATGAGTCGAGGTCGTACTCAACCTCCTTCATATTTTGTAACGCAATACGTTTGGCCAGTTTGTCGTTGAACGCCGCAGTGCCCTCTTGGGCCCCATAGGTGCGCAGGTCGTTTTGTGTGATGGTAAGTACCTCCTGCGGGGCCCCACCTGTTGTACC